GTAGTCCTACAAACATTCGTATACACAAATTGCGAGAGCATCTCAATTTTATCTGAATTTTATTGTTTTAGCCTCTTTAAAAGACGGCGTACGAAGCTTTTTCTCTTTTATACGTCACTCACAATCTTTTAGTCCTTCAAATTCCTTAAACCGCAAACCGACGGTTAATCTCCCTCGATTAGACATTTCATTGCGGTTGGGTAAGAATGGTCGAACCACCTGTGCCCCTTACGAGGACGATACTTATTCTCGGCAGCATCTGCTGTGATTGACCTGGCAACGTTGACCTCTTAAACTGCACGGCATGCAGTTTAAAAAATAATTATGCTGCAACTTTAATTTTCGGCCTCTCTTGATTCGACGAGTATTATCTTCGAAAAATAAAAAAAGTAAACGTATCATACGTCGGCTTTTTTTTTACCGATCGTAAATTTGAGCTGAGGTTTGGAACATAAAGTTCATTGGATAGTTTCGTTTGAAAATTTGATTTTTCTTCTAAACACTTAATATTAAATGCCTGGGCTTTGTAAATCGGTAATCTTCTATTCATCAGCCAGGTGCGCGTGAACTCTTTGTTTTAAATTTAGGTATAAAGGATCTAGGGCTTAGGTATTAGGTCAACTTAGGAGTTCTCAGCTTTTCACATAACTTCCAAACGAGTACTCATACTACGTAAGATTGTCAGCTGGGGATGCGAAGGAGTTGCAAACAATACAGGCCTTTAAAAGCCCAAAATGATATCTATTATTATATCTATAAGCTTTGAGAATTTATGCTAAAGTATCGTGTGAGATATTAGGAAAAAGTTACTACGAAACGAAAAAAAAAACTATGAATATATATATATATATATATATATATATATATATATATAAAGTGGTCAGCGTGAGCAAGTACTGATAATCAATGAAGTACACAATAAAATTGTAAATAGAATTCATCAAAACAGAAAATAAAATTCTTTATTTTAATATATAATGGAATGATGTTCTAGAAGTTTTACTAAATAATTATTTATTTAAATTAACAAAAGATAATTCATTTATACAAAATATCATTTTTAATCAAGTTTTATACGATTTTCAAATGACTATTCCATAATATTAATTGTTATCAAATTTTATCTTGAAATAAAAAGAAAAAATCATTTTAATATTTTTTCATAATTGAATTCATGATTAAACTTTTAATTACAAATGATTATAATTAATTGCCAACAATCGAGTGAGCAATCAAAGAAAAATTGAAAGATATAACGTCTGACTGGGCCGGAAATCGAATTAGTGCGCTACCATCATCACTTCGGATGGTCTTTCCACCTTAGCTACTGATGTTTGTGCACTTCCGTCTCCGAGTTGTCTTGATATCATATTCATTGCACATAACTTAGTACTTAAGTTTATTTACACATGAGAAGAGAATAAAAGTTAGGCAATTAAACTTTAAATGTTTTCATAAAACCCTAATTTAAATTTTAATGTTCGCCCTTTTATTAAAATTAGTAACTATTATTTATAATTTATACGCTCTACTCCAATTCTACATATTAAAAAAATTAAATTGAAGTAAATAAATATATATAGTACATTTTGCCATTATATATTATTAATTGCCATAAACATCCATTTTATAGAATATATTTATTTACGGATTTAAGGAATGTATGAGTATAATTAAACGAATATATTTAAATATTACAAGGTTTTATTTATTTCCTTAAAATTGATAAATCACGCACGATAGTAGTAATTTGGTAAGACACATAATTTACCAAAACGATTTTTATTATTTAAAAATACATCTTAGAATTTACTAACGATAAAACACTTCTTGTCGATATTTTAAAATAAAATTAATCATTTAAAAAAGAATATTACAGATGACCAATTTTTAATTCTGAAATATAAATATTTTATTTAACATATTTATATTAATAAAAAAAAAACAAAAACAATAGTTTCTCAACAAACTATATAACATATATAACAAAATTTATTGTTACATTATTGTTTTTAATTATATATTTCAGACGATAGATCATAATGCTTAATTGCACAGTAATATTCTGATATGTTTGTGTGAAATTTATCACTGTGTTGGACGCAATATTGAATATGTTTCAAGATAATGGCATTTTTACACTCTTGGACTACATTTACTACATGCTTCATATTTGTAAGGGTTATTTAAAAAATATGTTACGCCATTAAAATTCAACGTAATTTCAAAATGAAATTTAAGCTCTTAAACGGCGCATTGTAATAATCAATAAAACAAAAAAACGAGTTTTTAAGTTTATAAGTGAGAATTATTGAGTCACAGTTTGACATTCTTCATGAACTCATAAATGTTAAAGGATATTAAATTAAGCAACAAATAAGGAAGCTCCTGTATTAGTGCTCTCAGTTTTAAATTTATGGAGAAAAGCCAAGTAATTTTTTCATCGATAACGATTTCTATAATATAGCATATCATATATATATATATATATATATATATATATATGTCATGATAATATCGAACGTTGTAAATACATTTGAAAAATCTACGAAATTATAAATTTATCCGAATTCTTATTACCCCATAATCGGTGAACGATTATTAAGTATTTTTGAATTTCTATAAACTAATTAACATGATATTCCGATAATCAAGAAATCCACTTAATAACTAAACCATGAGTCAGCTTAACAAATATGAGCTTCGTTATTTCCTAAGCAAACGATGTTCAATCACACATTTCTCATAATTAACAAGTAGCATGCAAATGCTTCTTAGACCGATTATCGTATTACATTTGAAACTCTATCGAAGTAGTCACAAGCTTATGACGGGCTTCGCTCTATTACCGTTCGATCCATCGATCCCATTATCGATACGAAGCCAATGCAGCTCGATCGCGGATACGCTCGAAAGTGCCTCGGCGATCGTTCTGGGTCCGACGCACCGGCCGATCTGCAATTTGCAGTCGCGAACCCCAGCGACATCGGCCACGCGAGACCAAGTCCTCGTAAAATGTCGGAGAAAGTGCGGAGCTCGTAATGACAGAGGGTTTTGGTATGCGAGCGCAAGCGCAGCGTCGATCGATGGGTCGTTCGTGCGCTCGCGTGTCACCGAATTGCGCCGCGTACTTTGCTTTCGTGAACGAGAGCCGCCCCTCCCCCGTCATACCGCCCCACCACGCCATCCCACGTCATCCCAACATTACTGCGCTCCTTCTCGTCCATCAACGGAGCGCTTTCTTCCTTCTTTTCATGCCCCCGGCAGTCCCTCCTTCGTGCATCGGGCGTTTCCTTTATTAAGTTCCCTCGCGTGGAAAGGAACTTCATCAAGAGCTTTGCTCTCATCTTGCTATGATAACCCGAGCGAATATAGAACGAGATTAATTATTATTCGATGTTCGATCTAAATGAAGTCGAGATAAAGCCAACGCTACGTCGAGCGAAGACTTGTCGATGAATTCATATGGCTTGAATGATTGGATTTTCAATTTTTTTTTCTTCAATCGTTCCTATTGACGTATCCCATTCGTTTTTCCTTCTTGTTTATGTGGCTTAATGACGCTAGGATGCAACATCACTAATATTAGGAACTTAACGTCATCTGCTTCATCTCGATTGCGCAAGTTTAATACAAGAAAGGCTATTATCGCATTATACGTTGGAAAAACTTCAATTTTGGTTTTTCGAAATAATGCCTAGAGATATTATTCTTCCGTTAACAAATTACATATTATGCTTGTAATTAATATGCTAAATACGAAGAACAAAGTCAGAATGAAAGAAACATTAATTGGTTTAAAAAATTAAAATTCCAAAACTATTACAAATGATAATAATAATAATTAATATTGAATAATAGTATTTTTTGGTAGATGTGAAAACTTTAACTCAATGAACTAAGAAGGGAAAATAGCACGTGAAAAGAGTGTCTCGACGATGTTTTGATTCTTATGAATATGTTAATGTCAGAGTAAGACTCCAAAAGCACGTACGTGGTACGGCAGTATAAAATAAAATATAATTTACAATAAAACGTGATAAAGCGTACGTGAAAATTTTTAAAAGACCTATCACAACGAAGAATCAAATAAATCTAAAAAGAAATTAGCGCACGCGTATTCTCGGCAGAGATAATTCTGGAAATCAGCACTTGACATATTTTCGTGTCCGGTGAAATTGAACGAGCGAGTCTGAATTAAATTCAATACAAATCCTACACGTTGCATCTCATCTCGCCAAGTAGAGTCGCCGCAAACAAACAAACGCGTAATAGTCGCAATTCATTCATTGGGGAGTGAAAATTTTACTCGCGAGTGCTCAGACAATACCGATGCTTTACACGTGGATTGCTTTTCTTTTTATTGTGGTGTAACGCGAGACGTGCTCGTATATAAATTCAACGCAGCCCCTTGCCATGGAGGCTCTTTCATTTTTCCGGCCTGACAGCAATGAAACAACGGCGGTCCTCCAGCAGCTTCTCTCCTCCGTCTCCCCCCCCCCCCGTCACGCCTTGCCACCGGCCCGGTACCGATTCCGTAGAGCCGCGTGCGCGTAGACAATATTTTTATTGCCGTAACACCTTTATGGCTTCTTCCTACCTTCGTCTCGCGAAAAAGGATTGACGTTAAGGCGACGGCCAATCGCTTTCACGTCTATACGAGCACGTATGTATGTCGAGCTTCGTCCTGAATTGGAGGGGGCGGGGGGGGGGCGGCAACGGCAGCTAGCTATTCAAGACACGAATTACATCGTCGATCATGTAATTCCCTGCTTCTAAGGGGTGTCACTTTTGATCACTTAGTCCTTGAACTTTTTTTTACAGCAGATTTCGTATGTCGGACGGTAAAATGAAGCGTGGAATTTGTCGTCCGATTAGATGAGCAATTCGCCACGTGAGCTGAACAAACACCAGAATCGAAAGTAATGTACTTTGTCGAGAAAATTACGTTGACTTTGTGAAAAATTTTATATGCATACTTTAAACTAGATAGTGACGATATGACGCGTGATGAAAGAATACCGACCGCACGTAACAATTTACATTTACAATTTTTTACTTTACGCTTGCGTTTTAGTATGCTAGAATATGTACGTGCACATGCATACATCTACGCGCTTACGTAGAACGTATATAATATTTTATATGCATTTAATCTGCTAGAAAATAAATATTATAGAATATATAATATAATATATAAAATTTGTAAAATATATAATTATTTATAATCTTTGTAATAATTATTTTATTCTATCGTGAATGAAAAATCAAGACAATAATATACAATCTAATTATTCAACATGTAACGGGAGTCAGTGATGAATTTATAATGTATTATTTATGTATTACAGTTAACATATTTGAAGAAGCCGAAGCTGAGTTATATAATATCTACAATGATTGGTTTGGAAACTGTATAGGTGGTGGAGTTATAGATCATGAACCAGAGAGTAAAAAAATTAAAGTCTTTGGATACTCTGAGGTAAAAAATTTTTGTTTGATAATATTTCCTATGCACGTATGTTTTTCTTTACTTAATATTCTGCAGAGTAAAAGTGTTTTACAGAGTATTTACATAGCTGTTTGGATAAAAAGAATTTCATATAAGTATATAAAACTATCTAGACAACAGAATACATTTGTTTTATCGATCTTTTAAATGTTTATTCGCGTTAAATATGAATAAAGCTTGTTATTAAAGATATTTGTTTTTTATTTTCTCTTCAATTTACTAATGGAACGTTCACAAAAATTGTTATTCTCCACTTTTATGTTACATATTAATATTCTTATAATTAATTTTGATATCAATAATCTTTTAATTTCTGATAATTTTATATATTTATATATATATATATATATATATATATAAGGAGGTTTTTCAAATTATTAGAAATTTGTTAAATTTATTTATAATTAGATTAAATATTAATTTGAAATTCATACGTATTAGCTTTGAAAATAAGTTCTATTTGAATAAATTTAATAGATATTTCATCATTTACGAAATAATCATAAGCTACGATTAATATTAATCTTTTCCTTTTAATAATAAATAATTTGACAAATTAATAAGCCTGTATTAATAACAACTGATAATCTTTATTATCTTATTAATTATTTTATTATTTTTATCTATATATAGAGAGTTTTCTTTATTGACAAAATGATAGTATTTTTCCTATATTGGATGAATCTGAAGTTTTTAGTATTTATGAGCTACAAAAACGATCGATTTTGAGATTTAAAATTCTTCAATTTTATATTTAATGTCAATTTTATGTTCATAATTTCGCATTATAAGTCGATTTTATTATCGATGTATCAATGATGTATTATTCTTATCAAGTATCGCTATTTTTTAACTATTTGATACAAGTTGCAAAAATATGTTGTAATGACTTTAATTTAAATTAATTTAATGAGAATTACGTTTTGGGTATTATTTTATTTATTCTTCTAAAATATGGACTTTCTTCATTCATAAGAAACGTTAGATTGGCATGTTCAATGAAATTTCAAAATTACCTTTTTTTTTTATTTATCACGTTAAAGACTTGCGATAAAGGATTTAGTTGCGGGACTTTAAATCTCAGCTTATTCATATGAAATAAATAATTTCAGATGATATATTGAATATAATTTCATGAATTTTGTGAAGGAATGAAGTCACTAATTATGACAGACATATTTTATTATCATTGTAAATTACGAGAGGAAATAATAAAAAAATAATTATTAGGAATAATAATTTAAATATACTAATATTAGTTTACTAAAAGTAAGCCAATATCAAAACAGGATTTCGTTCATAGGATATTTTAATATTCTATTAACGTAAAAAAGGATTATAAAAAATGTAATATAAATAAAAAATTCTAATGTAAAAAGTCAGTTTTCTTTGGGGAGCTCATTTCCATGGCTCATTATCCTGAAAACAATAAAATGGACACTTAATCTGTAAATGATAATAAGTAAAAATAAAAGTTTTTCGCAAATTTACAATCTCTACGGTCCCTACCTCTTTTACAATCGTCATGGGAAACCATTTCGACGTCCCGGTAATTGGGCAGCGGATTCTTATCAAAGCGTTGAGAAGTTGAGGTTGCCAAGACAGACGGAGAGCTGCTAAATCGCATGCTAACGATCGAGATTTGGAGAATACAGTCGATCGGGATATATCGATTAATTACTTCTTTTAATAAAAACTCTAACGAGGTAACGATTTCATATGCACGGAATATTCATTCTATCACGTATTCACACGTTTGTCTACTCGTTTGATGATATGTAGTAAGTTGCATGCAGACATACCAAACGTAGCATGGATTCGGTGTTTTTCGTCACGATATATTAAGAAATACTCTTGCAAAATTAGAAAGTTATTAGAAAGTAGTATAATCAAAAGGTGCCGCTATGAAAGGAACTCGAAATATATCGCTTTGATCGTTTTAAAAATGAGTGGTAATCAGTAAATTTCAATGTATTGTTAGATAAAATTAATTTTTTTCTTTATTTCATTAGTTTTTATCAGAGATGAAAAAAAAAACTTAGTACAATTTCTCAAATATTATTTGAAAAAAGACGAAGCGAATGTAAATTATATGATTCTTGAACAGTTAGTTGAAATTTAAATTTATTATACGTTGATTTTCATATTTTTCAAATTCCCTAAATCTAACTACTCAGACAATTTCCATTCTTTTACATGACATTTTCATATAACCTATCAAATAACACAACGCAGAAAGAAATAAAATTTATAATTAACTGCAAAAAGTATGAATTAAAAATTATTTTTATACAAATTTTCATTTGAGAGTAGTAATAAATCAATTCTAATTTAAATGTTTGCTACTTCGAGAATATATAAAAAAAAAAAAAAAAAAAAAAAAAAAAAAACAAGCAAACAAAAAACAAAAACAAAAACAAACAGTAAAACACAAAAAAATATATATTTAAAAAATTCCGTGTACAATTTCCTTCACATAACTTCATGTATTACGATAAAAAATGTCTTTGTTCAAGGTTAATAATTAATATAGAATTAAATTACCTTGTTTTATGTTTTACAACTTTGAGAAAAAGAAACTTCTTTAAGACCTGGTTTACTAGTACTTTTAAATGAAAAATATAAAAACAAAAAAAAAAAGAAGTATAAAGTTTTTATACTTTAATATATGTATTATGCGGTACATATATCTCTTTTTAAATAAAACTTTTTTAATATAACGAGAAAATATTGAGTTTATACCTACTAATTCAAGTTGTAACGATGGTGTAACTTCTTAAATAATAATGCTCTAGCACTATTCATCTATAAGTATAAGTGAATAATATTTTTAATTATATAAATACGAACGTAATAGTAAATCTGAAGTAAAATAAGTCAGTAATATTAATCATTGTGACTTTATAGATTTTTTAATAATTTAATTTCTGTCAATTAATCTCTATAAATTTAAATCCTCTTCATATTCATCCATTTTGTCATTACTGAATTGATGTTATTTCCATTTATAGATAGATTTCATTATCAGTAATGTTATTTTTTAAATAGCAATACTAAGTTTCAATCAATTTCTCATAATATTTATTATAACATATGGTATTGGCAATTTATTTTCATTCTCGGTACATCTAATTGATTTCTTAAAAATAAATAATATCAACTTTTTATATAAATATTAATAATGAATTAATATTAATAAAACTTATCAAAAAATTAACGACTTTAAGAATTTCTTATTTTTCAAAGCCATAAAGTAATTCTAATTATATAGTAAATAAATTTTATAATTATAAAATGCTTCTTCGATTTTAATTCGACTATTGTACTAATTTATACTAAAACAGTTTTAAAATCAAACCAATTTCTATTTCAATATAAAATCACTTACCAAATATTAAACTTATTGTAGTAAGTTTTTAAAAAACTTCTCTTAGATATGACAGATTTATAAAAAATTAATATAGTAAATACAAGTCAATAGAATTGGAAATCTTTTGAATACTTTTGAATACTTTTGAATCTGATAAATATCATAATGAAAAAATAATTTCAATAGTTTCATAAGGAAATATCTAATTATTTATTGCTATTTTAATTACGTATTTTCGGTATTTTCTTCGACAAAAGAATAAATATTGAAAAATGAACTTGTAATTTTAGAATTTTATATATTACGGGAGGCTAAAGTAAATATAATAAGTCATTTTTTTTAAAACATTTTCTTACTATAATATAAATTTTTTCGATTTTTCCTTTTACATACACTGTACCAACATTACATGATACAATACGATTGTATGCATTTAATAGTGAATCTATAATGAATAATGAAACTTCCATTTAATATTTGAATTTGAATTCAAATACTTATGTCAATACAATTGGATTACAAATATTAAAAACAATCTTAAAAAAAAAAAACCTTGAAACATATGCTTTATAATTACATTAACATTTGAAATATCTTAATTTTATTATTAATATTTCATGAACTGACAAATCTATATTGATCCAAATGTATGGTAATCTATTTTATTATTAAGATATTCCACGTAAGATGGATATGGATTTAATTCATTTGGCTATCTGGAAAGCTGACATTTGTTATAAATATATTATTACTTTAATCTTATGTAATATATAACATAATTATCTAATAAAAATTTTATTTGGTTTTTCATGTTTTATTTTCTATTAATTATTTTATGTCTTAAGAAATTATAAGTTTAAAGTTAAACAATTTTTTCATTTTTAACGGAAAAGAGTTTCTTATTTTACATACCAGTTAAATTTATTTATCTTCCTTATATAATGATTATCGAGATGGTTCATGAATTTAAATTAAAAAAATATTGTGAAAAATAAGAATAATTTCAACGTAATACTTTGAAGCTATTAATCGTCTTTAATATTTGTCACATAAATGTGAATGATTTATTATTAAGATAATTATTATTTATGTATAATTTTTTAAACCAAAATAAGTAATGTTGTAATTCTTGCATAGATCAGTAAAGAAAGGTGCAACAATTATGTATGGACGGCAATGATAAGAATTTTGGGTAACAAAATGTTGTTGACCAAAATTCTTAAAAAGTAACATATAATTTGTATTTGCATATGACAGGAAAATTAACTCAGTTATGTTGTCGAAGGTTGTTACTCCACTAACTTAACTTTATCTCTAATTTAATGTTTCACCCTAAAGTTAGCGAATAATAATAAAATTGACCTACGCAACGAGAACAATAAGGCGATTAAACGTGTATTCAAATTATGCAAATCGAAACTATCCTGATCTTCATCAAAATCAAAATTAAATAATAGTTGAATATAAGCTACAATAATATTAAAAAGTATTTACTATTTTCATAATTAATATCTCTACAGATTTTGTAATATTAATAAAATGCCAATATATAGTATACATTAATTTTGTTTGTTATTGATAAATTCGATGAACTACATAA